TATAGTGAAATCAGAATCGGAATAGGTAAGTAAAATCGAAAAACGTAGGATTTTAAAATTTAAATCGGGATTTTGACTACTCTGCATCCATTTTCTTTCTAGCTGTGGCTACATGGATGTAGCTGATGAGATCCTTACACTTATGAAAATAAGTCTTTATCATCATATCGTGATTATATACAATATCTTAATCAAACAATTATGCAAATGTGGAGATCTTGTTGAGCCATTGACGTCTTCAACTAGATGGCTGACCAAAATTGTTTGCCTAACATCATAATTTATAACACTTTCTTTGGTGCTTTATATATAGTCGAAACAGAAACTTCGGTTATCGGTTAGCCGAAACACCCCCAAAACCTCACCGACCACCGAAAGAAATAAACTTTCGGTTAACCGGCCGACCGATCGCACGGTTTTTGGTTTGTGTCGCAATTAACCGCGAAACTGAAAAATTGTTGGTGGTGTCAGTTTAAACCAGTAACCAGCCGGACAACACCCCAACATGCATAGAAAATCATAATTCTACACATCGTCCATCAATTATTTTCAATGTATAAACATTTAACAAAGATTTTTAATTAATAAATAAAAATCTAGCAAAATTAAATTGTTAAAGTTGCGTAATATTGAAAGCCACCTTATCCTTTTCTTCTTCGACCCCCTTACCCACAAATAATTAGGGACCTTCCCTTTTCGTCTTTTACGTTCAAGTTTCAAACACGGCAACCCTAATTAATTATGACCATAAATTAATAACTAGCTTTTACCCGACCCGTTGGTCGGATGAACATCGTTTTATTTTGTATTATTTATGTTGATTAATATTATATGTTAAATGATTTGAAATATTTATATAGTCGTTACATTATTTGTAGGTATTATTTGTGGATAGTTAGTTCATATGTTTTTTATTGATCAACTCGTCTTAGTTGGAACTTGGAAGACAATATCCCATTGTATTGTCGTACGATTTTTATCTCTACTTTCACTACAAAAATTTGCATATTTAATCTTTTTCTTTCTTCCAATTCTCCTTTTTTTATCCGATGACAACATATCATCGTGTCTTTCGACCTCTTCGACTGAGCGTTGCCCACCACCGCCTATCTCAATCTCACCTCTATCTTCATGTATTTTATAGCTAGAAATGGAGGATTCAATTTCTTTCATCAACGGTCGTGGATACGTTGTCCTCTCCTATCCCTTGCTAGTAAAGGAGTTTTTAGAAGTATATGTCTATATGGGAGTCTCAAAGAGGAATTTCTTTTATTTTTCTAAATAATATGGTAAACTTAAAATGGTCCATAAAATATGATAATGTTTACAAAACACCGTTATCAAGTAAATTAGATGCATAATATATGCAAATGTACATATTAGAAATAATGTTTACAACGACACATCTACTAAACTTACAAACTATAATCAAAATGTTTACAAAGTTACAAATTGAAATTACAATCTTTACAAACTTTGCAAACCAACTAACAAACAAACGTTACAAATGCCACACAACAGTATAAATCAAAGACTGAATGTAATCATGTGTTAGTTGAGTGAATTAAAGGTAATTTTCAATTCAAATGAATTAATTGAAAATTGTACACCACACCCATCTTTCTAAAATAAGTCTTCCTCTCACGCAGGCAACACACACCGTTGTTCCTGATCTTCCGGTTGAATAAAAGACATATTTGATAAGCGTGATGGTTGTGTACTGTACTGTACTGAACTGTAGTGGTGAAAGTTTGGTTTGCGGGTTGCGGATAATTCGTAAACTGCATCAAATCGTACACTTTATGGGTAACCATATCCACAATTTGTGGACAGTGGGTTGAGTGTGTTAGAAAAATATTGATTTTTGTGGTTAGTGGTTAACCACTATCCACAACGGTTAACCCACAAAATCTACAATAACCCCACTAATTATATTTACTTATTAATAGTTAACTGAAAAGTGGAAGGCTATAAATTAAAGTAGCCTCTAAAATCAAATAGTGTCCGTGTGAGATACTTTTATTAAATAAACATTGTATGCGTGGTATATGTTTATTTTATAACAAAACCAAGTCAACAAATGTGATTTATAGTTTATTAACTTTATTTTATTAGTTTATGTAGTTTTTTACTTTTGTGTAAGAAGAAACACAACATCAATATTAAATTACCCTAAACTATATTCAGTAATGAAACTTTCGTGGGTATCCACATCCAACCTTCAGTGGATAATGGTTAATCACTATCCAATGCGGTGTGGATTGTAGGTAGCATAATTCTATATTTGCTTATGTGATTAATCACAATATGTAGGGCGAGTCACCCACCCCAATTTCCACCCTTACTGAACCGTCATTGCTCATACTGTGAAGTGCACTGAATTCGGTAGGAACAGGTGGTCACCATTCCTCAAGCTAAAGATATTTGGTTTCTGTATAAAAATAAACTATAAACAGAAGAAAAAGGATTCAACATTACTACAATAGTGAGTGTCTAATATAGAATCTCCAAAAAGGGGAAAAAGATTAAAGAAGAAAAGAAGAGAAAAAGAAGACTTTTAAATTAGAAATACACATTAATCTGAAAAAGGAAGCCACCAAATAGCCTGACCTAAAAACACAAGATTCTTTTGGCTAATAACATATTCAGTTAACAAATGAACCCTGTTCATTGGAGCCTTTCCCTTGTTTCGGTTATCCATTCATAATTCTTTGAATGCGATATAAGGGGCATGATGATGTTCAGGGAGGATGGATGAGCTGCTGCTGCCACCGCTACTTAACATCTTCTTTAAGAGGTATCTCAACAATATCTCAGTAACCCTACTAACACGACGAACATAAATGACACTCCATCGCAGTTTCTGCTTCCCTCCTGCATAATCAGTTCCTGCAATCAGAAAATCCCCTTTGGCTTAAGATGAATTCCAAGATGTAAATCCTGATTCAATTGAGAACTCAGGCAACCTTGTTGAGCAATTGTACCCAGAACCTATCAGAATAATTTTTTTATTCCCATAAGCCGCTATTATTTTGTCAAGTTGAGTAAGTAGTCTTCCCTGCAACACAACTTTCACAGGAAAAACACTTCCAAATGAAAATAAAGACCACTAAATCATAACTTAGAATAAAAGCTCAACAAATAGAGTAAGTCATAGGAATAATACTCAAGGAGCAGGACTTAATTTCCTTTTGCTTTGAATTTCGGTTTGTTGAAGAACATAGCTCTTTATCATGCACAAAAACATAAAGTCATAAGCTGGAATGCAAATGAACAGAGTCTCTTACTATTCCTTATGCTACATCAATGGCCACATATTTAATTGGGGCATAAGGGTCGTCACTTCATCCCGTGAATAGAATCCTTATATAGGAGACCAGTGCACAATTAAACTTTGACTAAATATACTGTAGATTTAATACAAAAGCATAAAAATTAGAATTTAGATTCAGTCAGCTATATAAGGATTTTGTGTAGAGGTCAAGGGGACATAGAATGGATAACCTACCAATGCGTATATCAAAAGTCCAAAAGGACCTTGCAGCTATTAAGTTATGAGGCAGAGAACTCCAGATCGAAGTGGATGAGAATGTGGACTTGGTGAAAAGCGGTAAATTACCAAATCAAAGGCACCTCACCATGACAACTCAAGAACAAAGGGTAACCTACACTTCATTGCATACATAGTTCGCAAATAAGGTAGGGGTTCAAGATGACATCACAATTGGAACTGAAAATCAAGACATAGAGATATAAAGCTAAATTTCCATAAATAAGGAACCCTCACTCTGGCCTACAAATTCAAAACTTGCGGAACTTGTGATATGAGTATTCAGAAGGTGAGTTACCACACAGACTGAGCTTCCCCCTGAACACAACCATCGGCAAGCCAGAGAGTACTAAATCAACCCTACTGCATGGGTGGGGCGTGAACACCAATGCATGGAATAGAAAGGGCTATTGAGACATAAAATCATTTAGAACGGGAGAAGGAATATAAGGGAATTAAGGGGCGAACATGGAGAAAGAAACTTATCTTCTGTTCTGGTTCTCCACTACTGCGGGAAGGGAAACCAAAAAATGAAAATCGTGACAGACCTTAACAAACCTGTGTCGCTTCACTCCCAACTCATCGTCGAGTCTCTGCATTCCATCCTCAGTACAGGTGGTTTCGAAATATGTCATTATATCTATAAGGCTGTGGGATGGAAGAGAAGGAAAATCACAATCTATGGAGCATTGTGTTTGTGAATAGAGAAGGGGAAGAAGTCTAGGGTTCAAGCAATGGGAGAAACAAAAGCAGATGATGCAAGAATTCTATTGAGATATGCCTCGAAGGGGAAAAGTATTGAGGATTGACACAAATACGCTTGCGGCAAGTTGAGAGACGAAGAAATTTGAATTGACAAAATTCTCATAAAATTCTATAAAAGGTCAGTTGAAATAGCAGAGACACATTCTACAATCTAGGCTTCTGAGACAAATAAGGAATAACCAAGCATAAATTATGTATTTTGATGCAAGAAACTTCAAATGTAGAAGAATGTCATTGCAACAGAACTGTTGGAGTTGACAACTTCTGCACACAATGAAGTCCTCTCTACTGGATCCCATGATAACAAACTATAGTCACATAAACCACATCAATGAACCCAGAAGCTTATGACAACAATTTCATTCACAAATGCCATAATACTTTTACCATCAATAGTTGATCTGGTTTTTTAAACGAACTGAAGACAAATCAGTATATTGACCCTACGGTACGATTGTGACTAAATTCAGAAACAAATAAATTCCGAGTTTCCAGGTTGATCATAGTTTGCTATCCACTCAAAAAAACAATAAAGATATACCAAACTTATTCAAGCTATAGCTGGTAGCATCATGAACATTTAATTTGATGTCACTTATAGAACGAAGCTGGAAAAATTAATAAGAGAAATTGAATCTTGAGCACCTCCAAATGGAGTGAATTCTTCCTAACCCAAATCTGCCATACCTTCAAATATTGCAGAAATTGAAGCTCTTCTGGAATCATGAACAATTAGGCATTTCCTTCCACACCTTCTCCATGTGTTGTTCGCCCAATCCTATTTATTTACTCCTAAAAACCAGAAATTCAATCTAAATTGAAGAGCACCAACACAATTAACCAATGTGAAGTGAAAAAAGAAAAGTACCTTAGGCTCACCAGGAGGATCATAATGCACAAAGCAATCCTGAACGGGAGTGGAGGAAGGAGTAGGAGCAGCCGTCAACCGGTAACCTAATGCATCGCGTTACAGAACTGACATCCATCAGTGGCGGTGGTATGCAATTATTTGCAAGATTGGTGCACCGTAGAGTAGATTGTGAAGTGCAGGCACCTTAGCTCACAGATGAGAAAGGGCCTAAGGATTCTGTTAGGAAACAAAAGGAATATTAGTTCAATGAATGAATATTAGTTCCAGCAAACTTCCCGACCGCCGCCACGAGGTTGTGGGATCTCAGCTCCCCGTCGATCCCGTGCACGATCAAACGGCCGCCGCCGTCGTCGTGCAGATTCCAATCACCGCCTTCCCACAGAGCTCCGCTTATCCCAGTGAGTGAATACTCGAAGCAGCGGCGCTCGCTGCGGGGAGTCGAGGATAAAATCCGCCGCGCCTGATGCTTCAATACCGCTGAATCGACCCGAATGTCGCCGCCCCGAAATACCAGTAGCAATTTCAGGCCTATGGGGACGCCGTCTCCGCCCGGTGATACTTGATCGGAGATCCAAATAATCCAAACTCGAAGATCTGAAGACAACCCCCAGGTTTCCGCACAGCCTCAACCCGTCGACCAGCCGGCTCAACTCAACCTCGGCGAAGATGGGCTCTCTTACGTCATCTCCAATCACCAGTTTCGAGGAACCGACTTAGACCTCGAACTCGAGCAATTTAACAGATAAGGACCATCAAACGCGATGGTCGGGCGCAATCGATAAGGGAAGAGGACAGACAGACAACAACTTCTTCTTCTTCTTCCCACCTCCGATTCTCTCTTAATAACAGTAGAAAAAAACAAAAGGAACTGATGCGAAGGGGAAGAGGAAGGAGCTTTGTCTCTGGGAAATAAAAAATAAATACAAATTAAATGAGAACGTGGGCCTGGCAGGAGAAAAGGTGGGTAGTGGACAGTTTTTTGGTTCTGAAATCAGGTGGGACTCTTTTTTTTTCCCGCTTAACACTCTGCCACATCAGCTTCCTAAAATCACTCTATGGGCAGGAAATTTTGAATGGGGGGTGCAGTTTTACTTTTCAGCTATAAATTATACTGTTGATTTGTTATAAACTCTTTTCTAGGAAAGAAGACTGGAAGATTAAAAAATAAGAGCATTAATTTGCTCGAAAATGGAAAGAGTATTAATAATTTTCCCCTTCTTTTACTGCTTTCTACAAATACAGGGATATGAATTTGCTCGAAAATAGGAAAGAACATTAATAATTCCAATCCCCAAGACCCAACATTTGACTCGCCAACACACTTATTATGTTTTTAATTTGAAGTTTTGAACGTTTGGATGTGGGATTTCGGTTGGGGTCGGTTAGCCGGTTAACCACGGTTAATTATCGTCGGTTATTCGGCTAACCGACTCCTTCCTTTTCCCATCCAACTACCGACCGTCAATGTCTTCCGTCAGTTTTTGGGTTAGTCGGTAACCAACCGACTTCGGTTATAACCGACCGATTTTCGGTTATAACCAACGATTATCTGCTAACCGGTAACCGATTGCCCAGCCCTAATAGAGAGACATAATGGTTCATGAGGCCTGAAATATTCAGGATTTTAGATGGTAACAACTGTTCACTTGAGTTGATAACTTACAACACTTTTATGGAAAGACTCAATCGAAGTGGCTATGTGAAGACCACTAATGCCTAAAAGTCCAATAAATAAACATGAAGTAACTGAACTACAAATATGTGTTTTCATTTCCCCATTTTCTTTTCCGTTCTTTCAATTTGTTATGCAACTGTCCTGAATATTATATGGTAATTTAACATTAAAAGTTGCTAAACCTTTATGAATCACTACTATACAATTCTTGTAATGAATAGAAACCTCTTATTATGCTATCTTCATCACAAGTTCGAATTCTTCTTCAATAATCTCTTGCAAAATTGTACAATTTTCGACAAGACTCTTGACCACCCACCTTTTGTAGATAAACAAAGGAAAATTACACTAAACAAGTTAACAACTCATGCACTTTAGCAAATATACAACAACATAAGAAGAGCATTAACTAGTATTTAATAGATATTACATATGACACCAAGCTTGCTTGCTCTTGGGTGAATACAAACTTACAAGGGCGGATAATTCGAGCTCGTCAATGAACATTGATAACTTTATGCAATTTGCATCAATAATAACAATAAAATAAAAAATAATCTTGTGATAGAATAGACATTAACAAGTTGCAATTAGAGGGTTCAATGCATAGGTTCGAGTCTATAATTTTTGGATCACAATGATTACAATCAACCAGAAAATAAAAAAAATTTCCAAATAAATATAGACAATTTCATATTGATTACCTGGAATTTCAAGTAGTCCCGAAATCAGTGTTGAGTAATACAATTGCTTTGCTGCATTTCATGACCACGGCTCCTATAGCTTCAGCAGAAAGAAGAGATAAGTTGTAGAGTTATAAGCTTCAACATCTTTCTTCAATTTCTCAAATTGCGAAGAATGAACGACCTTAGTTTTTGAACATATGTCAACAATATCATTTGGGTTCAGATGGGTTATTTTTGGTTGGTTTGAGTTGGATCAGTTGGTAAATTTGGATGGTGAGGTGGTAACTATTGTTAATTATTTGGATGACATAGTCCGTTGACAAGGTGGGTTTAAATTATTTTTTAGATGAAGATAAATAAAACGATAATTTCATCATACATTTGGATCCATGTTATAAAATTGAGCTAAATGAGAATTTTGGGACTATTTTGTACAAATCCAAAATTTTGTAATGCTAATGCTAATCATCCCATGATGAAAAGTAAAACGTGTTTGTGGGGGATATCAGATATGGAACCCTCGAGAAACATAAACAAATATCAATAGTACCAGCAATAAAGATTTTGAAAAACAAGTGAGAGCTAAGAACTTCAAAAGTCCCCTGAATCAGACGAAGACACGTGTCAAAATATTTTGAACGTGCGTCTATATGGAATTTTTAACCGTTATTAGCAGCCACAGAGAAGATAGATAAGCTAATAGATTAGAACGAGAAGCAAACAACCTACCAAAATATAAAAAGAAAATAAATAAAAGGGTGAAAAAATTAAAAGGTTTCGACTATATGAAGTAACCACCTCCTCTTTCCCCCTTCTTTCTCTCTCTCTCTTTGATTGAGAAAAAAATGTGCAGATGAAACAAGGGGGAAAGAAAATTCTTTCTTGGGAGCCAATCTATTTTCTGTAAATTCTCTGCTCCCTCCCTTTCCTTCTTCATCTCGCAGAATTTCCATCTCCAAATCCAGATAAAATTCTCCAGCCTTTTCTCGACTCTTGGTTTGAATTCCTTCAGATAATTCTGAAGCTCGACTATGGTGTAGTTTGAATGCAATGCGGTTCATCCATGATCTTACATGTTGTTGTTGTCTTCTCTCTCTCTATATTTTGAATCTTGAAAACGGTCGAGCTTTCTGAATTATTTCTTATTATTGTTGTCCCTCTACAATCATCCAATTCGATTGTAGATTCTAGGGTTTTTTGCCGAATTGTTGGGTCAAATACCAAAAAGGAAAAAAAATTATGTTAAATTAGTGATTTTCTCCTTCAGAGACAAGTTTATTACAAAATCATAGAGATGCCTTGCAAAATTTAAAGCAATTCTGGTATATTTCCTCAATTTTGGGAAGAAGGCCTATGAACTAGAGTTTTGATAAGCGATGGATCATCTTGTCGGTGGAAAATTCAAACTCGGCCGCAAGATCGGCAGTGGATCTTTTGGGGAGCTATACATTGGTTAATATTTGCTTCTCTTGATTATTCGTTCTTTTTTCCCCCCCTTTAATACAGTTTGGGGATTTGGGTTTGTCTTATAGTTCTAATAAAAAATTATTTGCCTTCATTTTTATGCAGCTGTCAATGTCCAGACGGGAGATGAAGTTGGTGTGAAGCTGGTAATGAGAATTTTTAACTGTAAACTTATTTCCATTTAACATTGTGATTTCTCTTTTTGTTGTGTTTATTAAAGTGAGCTATGTTTTAGTTTATTGACTGGCTATATCGATGATGATTGCTTGTTGTTAGAATGGTCTTTCATTTCAATTTTAAGAAATTCTCCACCTTTTGTATCTTACTGGTTTTCTGGCGAATGACAAAATCTATAGCAAAGATGTGAAAATTTTAGATGGCAGAGGAGAAATCAGCTTAGGGATAGTGAGTAATCAATCTTGAAGGCTTTGTGAGTCCACACCTTTGTTCTATATGGTCTCAAATCTCAAGTATGACAAATTGTAGCCATTATATTCTATTGACGAAGAGAAATACTTTTTTGTTCATATGATTTAATTCCCTCTCACTCTTAGTACCAGTTTGCCCTGTCAATTCAGATGGCTTTCCCCTGGCTTTTTGATAATTATCTAAAAATGTTTCTACTTATGTATTGCAAAGACAACATCTTTTAGTTATTTGAGTTATTGTCACTGGCTCTATTCCATAAATTTCCTTAATCACTAATATTTGAGTTATTTGAGTGATTGTCACTGGAGCTCTTTTGTGTTCCCTATCCTCCGTCAAGCTTTCTTTCTATGATAAATTACATGATGAATGCTTTGTTTTCAACTATTGAATGCCATTTCTTGGGGGAAGAGGATGGTTTTGCTACGTACAAAGTTCTTCCTTCTTATCCTCATGAATTTTAGATAATGTAGAAGTAGATTAAAAAATATAAACTCTTAGTCTTTCTGAAGTTTCAGAAAAGCCTTAGATGGAATTTTTTGGAAACCCTGAACATCGACTTGCATGGAGATGCCATTGACATATCACATTTTAGTACTCTTCTCTATTTATTAATGCACTTGTGATCTTATTCGTAGGAGCCTGTGAAGACCAGACACCCTCAGCTACACTATGAGTCTAAAATTTACATGATTCTCCAAGGGGGAAGTAAGTTATTTTCTCCTTCACATACGAAGGAAAATTTCACTCTTAGCATGATAATAAGGATTCCATAAAACTTTGAGATTCATCATATATGTTGTAATTTTTTGGGTAAATTATCAACTATCATCTTGCAGCTGGAATTCCCGAGCTCAAGTGGTTTGGTGTTGAGGGTGACTATAATGTCATGGTCATAGACCTTTTGGGGCCAAGCCTAGAAGACTTGTTCAACTACTGTAACCGAAAATTTTCTTTAAAGACGGTTCTTATGCTTGCAGATCAGTTGGTATGGTATTTACTCACTTCTCTTTCTATATTTTTGCTACCTTCAACCATTCATATTATAAGTGTATACCATTTTTTTACTTCTCAGATTAATAGAATTGAGTATATGCACTCAAGGGGTTTCCTCCACCGTGATATAAAGCCTGACAACTTTCTAATGGGGTTAGGACGCAAAGCTAATCAGGTATTTATGCACATACCATTTGCACCTTATAATAGGTTTTAGGGCGCCTTCTCTATAGGTGCTAAATTTTCTTCCACATTAAACCCAAAGGGTTGATTTAATAGTAATGGAACATGACAAATATCCACCATATCATGGTTTTGAACCTTTGTTAGCATCAATGACCTAAAAACAATTTTTACATAATTGTGCATAGCGACTAATATTTTAATATGATAGATAGTTAAGCTGCTATAAGGGACTTGAGAGGGATACTTATGGTTGATATGAGTGATAATAATGATGATGAATGAGCTTGTTAGTTTCCTTACCTTTAGTCATATATCTTTTTGATAAGAACTTTGAATTTCTTTGAAGATAATTGTGTTTAGTACATTAACTGCAGAAAGGAAGTTTTGTTATTCCTTACTCATGCTCTTCTTGTCAATTGATTTAACAGGTGTATGTTATCGACTATGGGCTAGCAAAGAAGTATAGGGATCTTCAAACTCATAAGCACATACCATATAGGTAATGCACTCTTCACTTTCTTTGCCTTCATAATACTATAAAGTGGCACGTAAACCCCTGTTGTTGTCTTTCTTAGAGAAAATTTCTTTTGTTTTTGTTGGGTGGCTTCACTATGGTATTGTCCTAGGTGGGTTTTGGGTAGAGGTTCATGCATAACTTTTCTCCCTTGTGAGTACTTAAAATATTGTGCTTGTTTAGTGAGCAATGATTTTCTAGAAATATTTTTTTTATAGCTTTATCTGTTTTCATGTGAAATGTTTATCAGAGCTATATCCATTCGAATTCAGATCGATATCAGTGACTGCCTTTTGATCCGAGGCAACTTCCATTTTGAGCTTCTTCTAAAATTGCGCTTGTAACATAAATGTATATAAAGTAGTTGTGACACTTCATGTTATGCAAGATATCATCTACCATGTTCTCTTATATGTATGTTTTTTTTCGTATGTAGATGTTTATGTTCTCTTCTCCGTGATGTGTATACATAAAATTGAAAATTGATGATTTTGTGGCATTTTTTCCTCGGTTCAGAGAGAACAAGAATCTTACAGGAACAGCTAGATATGCTAGTGTTAATACTCATCTTGGAGTTGGTAAGTAAAGCGTTGTTTCATTTCTTAGCTGTTAGTTGATAATGAATTATTGTAGCTTGTCTTTATGCCTCGGTTGAAATCTAATGGCGATTTAGTTTACCCTACATTTCAGAACAAAGCAGAAGAGATGATTTGGAATCCCTTGGATATGTACTCATGTATTTCTTAAGGGGAAGGTTGAAAACATACAAAAACTCTTATATTTGTTGCTCTTAGTTTTATCACCATGCCAATTATTTTAGAATATCTCAGAGCATAGCTTATTACTTATGATTGAGAAGGATCTTACTTAATTTACTCTTGGCACCAGCCTTCCATGGCAGGGTCTGAAGGCTGGAACGAAAAAGCAGAAGTATGATAAAATTAGTGAAAAGAAGATGTTGACACCAATTGAGGTATCATTAATTTGAACTTAACGGATGCCACAACACTCATGTCTATGTGATTTTTCTCTCTTTGTGACCACAATGGATTTATAGATGGAAAAGGTCGTTCATGACTTTTCAAACATTTGGGCAGGTTCTTTGCAAGTCATATCCGTCAGAGTTCACATCATACTTTCATTATTGTAGATCCTTAAGGTTCGAAGATAAGCCTGATTATGCGTATTTGAAAAGGCTGTTCCGTGACCTTTTTGTTCGCGAAGGTGAGTAAACGAGTATCTTTAGTTAGGTTTTTTCCTTCTAATGTAATAATATCAATAACCATCCATGATATGTATTATACGTAGGCTATCAGTTTGACTACATATTTGATTGGACCATATTGAAGTATCCGCAAATAGGCTCCAGTTCTAGAAGTCGGGTCAGTGATTCATGCAGTCTTGCAGAGTCCTTATTTGGATCTTCTAATGTTGAATCATTTTATGTTCTTAATTTAATCATCGTTTTTCCCACCAGACTAGTGGCACAACAGGGCCAAAACCACAAGCAACAGGTGAAAAACCAGAAAAGGCATCAGGTGTGTTCCTTCCCACGATGGGAAGGTATATAATAATAACTGGCAAATTTCTATGATTTTTTCAATTGCTTTGTTAATGATGGGACTCCACTAACAAGTCATCTTGTTTGGTTGGGTTGGGCATAACTGTGCAAGTAAATATATGATTTTTCCTTACCGTTGATACTTATTTCAGGCATTTGAATGCATTTGAAATACACAAAATTTTCTCTGCATAATTATATTGTAATTTCAAGTACTTGGGGTAGGGATTTGAAACTTCACTCTAGAATCAAAGATAAAGAAAGAAAATGCATATTAGAAAAGTGCCACATATTCCTTTAGAAGACGTTTTCATCACAACTGCACATAAATTGACTATATTTTTGCAAATAGATCTCACATGATACCACCCGATATTTGTATAACAAACCAAATACGCCAATGATATGTTATTTCTCTATCCACTAGGTGATATTCTTTGAGATAGATTTATGTTGGTATGCACTATGAAACCTTTTGTTTTCCAATACATCTTTATAAAACATAATAATGTCTGACATGATTTTCTTTCTGGGTGTTCGTGTATTGTGTTGGCCTGTATGCTTAATCCGGAGAGACCAGGGACTCGTGAAAGGCCAATGTCAGGAGGTGTAGATGCTTTAGCAGGTAGAAAGAGTGCTTCTGGTATAGGGCATCGTGAGCGCTCAAAGCACAGGCAAGCCGAGGATGGATCATCCTCCAAGGACAATGTAAGTTTATATAAAATGGAACTTATTTCATGCTTGTTTTACAATATTCTTATTCTTGTGTATGGATTAATTATCACAACAATGAAAACAAGTTTCTATTTCTTATGATAAATTAAAAAGCAATCAAGTGTGTTTCATAGGGTTTCTATGGTGTGCTGTCATTTTTTGGTGTATAAACTATACCATTGCTTTTACTGAATGGTTCACGATGAACTTGTAGATCTTAATCAAAGTTTTGTTAATCTTATATATGGATCTTGACAAATATTTTGAGTAAAAATCAAAAGTTCATTGTTAACCATTTAATGTTACTGCAATTCGTTGAAACTCTAGAAGTGCATGGAAGACATGGCCTGTTACTTATGTCTTAAAAAAAAAAAAAGAGAATGAGAAGAATTTGATAGTGTAAAGATAAAATAGCTATAAATTTTAGTGGGTTTCCATTAATCCTTCTTGCATGAACTCATTCCTATAATTTTTCTTTTTGTATTTGTCAAATTTATGCCAAATGTAATTCCATTTTGGCAACACTATCGTCATTCTAAGCTTAATAAAAATTGAAAATGCAATACTATACCTAGATTTTCCTAGGTTATTCACACAAGCTGCATTGACATTCATTGTTTTTTCTGTTTCACCTTCTTCGTCCTCAGCGATCAGACGTTGAGAAAAGCCGACCATCTTCCTCACGGAATATGTCAAAGAAAGCAGTTGCATCCTCCAGTAGATTGAGCTCATCAAACGTAGGGAGTGAAAGTCGATCAAGCTGGCTCTTCTCCAACAGCAGTCGCCTCTCAACTACTCAAAGAATCCACTCTGGTTCTGATACAAAAGCCCCATTAGCATCTCACCACCAAGGTGGCAGCACTCCCCGAGAATCAACTCGCACTGAACATCAGCTTCGTAGCTTCGATAACCTTGTCATTGATGCAGACAGGAGGAGGCAATGAAACCAATCCAAGGGAACTCGTTTTTACCCTTCCCTGGTACTAGAATTCACTACTGACGAATTCTCCTCCCTCCTCTCTCCTCCTTCTACTCCTATCTCACCTCTTTACTCATCCACTTATTTCTGGAATACGAAAAAACCAAAAATCAAAAAAGAAGAAAATAAAAAAGGAAGAAAGAAAAAGATAACCAAAGAAGAGAAAGCAAGATTGGGAATGAGCTTTCTAAGAAAGCCATGAATTGAGTATGTGTTGGAGGTTGTGTTTGCAGGTGTTGTTATGCTCTAATATAGATGTAAAGTTTTTGAAAGAACAATTGTAGCATGTTGGTGTAAAAAAATATTAATGGAGATCCTGCCATGCCCAACATCCTTCCTATGTTATTGCTCTATAATATTCTTTTCCTTTACATGGATGGACCATCAAGCTAATTATAGTCATTTGTACTAAACCAATTAGTTCTTATTATGGATCGAGCAACCACCCTGTTACTTTTTCTCAGCGATTAATTTAGTTTTTACCTCAATACTCTCTGCTGTAATTCTATTCAAACAAAAAATGGCATGTGCATGCATGTTATATACTATCTAGGGTTTCCATTTTTTTATTATTGTGAAAGTTTAGGGGGTCAGCAGTCTTGTTAGATATGGGGAATACTTTTAGAACAATTTTCATTTGACGAAAAAGATAATTTGGTCCTATTTCTGGAAATTACCATGACTAAACAATTCCTGGGCTTATTGCGTATGATTGTTTAGAAAATTAAAATGGGGTACTTCAATCCTAAAATCATTATAGGCGTTGGAGCTGCTATTTGAAAAGAATGAGTTCTTTTACGGGAAAGTCAACGACGTCGCACTCCTGTCTGAGTTGTGTTCTTATTTTTTCCTTCTTCTTTTTGATAACAACCTATGTTAATATAGAACTTTATATCATACTGAAGAAAACCTGAGTCCATAATAATTCCCCCTATACCAATTCCTTCCTCACCCAGATTCCTTGCATCATTAAGTTTAAACACTCTAGATTCCAAATGATGGATTGTTTCCCATTATTTACAGTGAATCAGAGAATCATCAAAATTTGGATCCGATGATTTTTTACCCTCTCGGTAATTCTCAATCCAGCAATTTGCTCTATGGGCCACCTTGATCTCCATGTATGTCTTATTATTCTAGCCATGATTGTTCCTTTCCCTCGCATGAACCATAAAAGGGCACTGAAATGTTGTAGAATGTAATTTGGAGTTTGACAAAGACTCTTTCTAAATACTCTAAGCAAGATTGATTTTTTTTCTTCTTTCAGCTAAGAATCCATTACTGAGCTTATCCTCCACATTCGACGGGACTAGGAACAGCCCCACAAAATGAGCATTTTCATATCAGGTAAGACACAAAATAACATTCATTAGTAACATCTCTTATGCATTTCGAAATCCATTTTTAATATTTTTTTAGAAAAAAATTCCATGCCTCCCGTTGCCAACTGCATGGCATATGGTATCTTCTTCATTTTTAAGTCGTTTTTAAAAAATTTTGCACAGAAGGAACGAGTTCATCATGACCTATTGGATCTACGAATTTCTGGGTGAACAAAATACATTACCAAGAAATACCACACAATACCACCATGGTACAGGGTGGTATCTTGTGATACACAATGTTGAAAGTTGTAAATGACAGTCAGTATACTCCTACTATCATGTATTCAACCATCACAGTCTTGGTATGGTTATACCACCATGGTATGCTTTTCATACCATATGGTATGCTCTTATTTCAATACCAGTTAATACCATATAGTATAGAATGGTAAAAAATGGGTCAATTTTTTTGTTCGAAAAATATATAAAAGTGGATATAATTTTGAAGAGCACAATTAATCTGATCTGTGAAAAAATTAAATTCCGACTTAAAATGAGCGAGAAATAATCCGTTAAAGATGAAGGGGATAAAAATCAAAGACTTTCAGTAGAGAGAAGGGTGCTGATGTGGCAGATGGTGATTGGGTTATGTATGGTTATTCATCACAAGGTTACTAACTAGATGCGCTCCCTATGTAGAGATCCTTATAAGGTATCCAATTATAGTGCCAAATCTATATACTATTCCATAAATTTTTAGATGTAGCTTCGAAAAAAATTTATGAGAAGTACTTTGCATTGCAAATCTTAGCTACTAAGGAATTTGGTCTTAGGACCACATTCGTTAGCATGATATTAATTTCTCTTATTCCAAGCTCTTATATCTCCTCTCTCATATGAGGAAGTACATTTTTGCTAAAAGTGATTTTGGATTTAGATAGAATTACCTTTTTCTTTGATTCCATTTCGAACCTATGGAAGATTTCTTTAATTTAACGCTTTCTTGTTTGTCACTTGAGTGAAGATGATGTCGTTTTAAAAAAAGATGCGAAATGGTTGTTGCTCTATAGAAAATTCTGATTTCATTCAACTACTTCCTGCTTTCAGCCTTCCTAAGTAAGTTCGAGAGGCCTCGTCACAAAGAAGGAAAAATAACACGATAAATGATATTCCTGTCTAAATTCTCTAGTTGGGAAATATTATGGACATTTGTGTCCATTTACAAACACAAAGAAAGAGATGCAAGTCACACACAACAACATCCATCTTATGCATCTTTCTGAAAAATTCTAATTTTCTCACAATTTCTCCTAAAAATTTCATTCCACAAGGCTGTATGCCTTAGATATATCTAGCTTAACAGTAATATAACCAATCAAAATCTAGGGATGGGAATTGTACTCCGAGAACCGAGAACCTGTCCGAATCCGACCCGGTCCAAGCGGGCAAAATCCATCTTTCTTTCATCGATTATCTTCTTTCCTTCCCGATGATGTTAATGATCACTTTCTTTCTCTCGATGCAATCCTTTCCTTTGATTGCATGCCAAGGAATCAGAGAAGTCGATCGATTCGACTGGAATGCTAGAGCTACATATAAATACGAGGTGGGTGGTCATTTTCTGTTCATTACTCAGCTTTTGTGCTTATGCCTTCTAGTTCTACCTGTGGTTATCGACTTCTCAATCTCACCCCCTTAGTGTTTTGGTTTGTGGCTATGTGAATACGAGATATTACTGTCCACTATGGGTTGCAAATTGGGAGACTTGGAGTGTTTTACTTGGGGTAATTTTCATTCTTGTCGTTCGTCTCTCTGTTTGATCAAGGTAATTGCATTTTCATTCTCTGTTTTTTGAGGTTCTTAATTTAATCTTGCTATTGCTTTCTAACTAATTGATCCTCTGTTTTCTTATAGGAATCATGTCGTCTGAAGGTGTTCAACCAGCTGCTACTCAAGTTAATGGAAATGGTGCAAATGGACATGTGCTTGCACCTGCAATCGACAACAACAATAACAGTGGGGAGGCTGTCCCAGCAGTAGTTGCCCTTACAAACTGGCAGAATGGTAATGTTGAGGAGGTAATTGATCTTGGTAAGCTTAAAAGTCTTGTTTGGGCGCAAATATTTTTTCACATTTTTTCTTATTTAAAAGGTTCTCTCCATAGTAGCTGTTGAAACAGCCATTGTCAACATTAGACGAATCAATCTACTAATCAATTTGTATTGTGTGTCCATCCCTATTTCGGTTTCATTGTTTGTTTTCCTTTAGACGAGAATCATTGGAGCTTGAATTTTTAGGCTAAATTTAGAGTTGTGATTTGAATATGTTCATATGACCTATTTTCCTAATTACACACAATCTTATTATAAAATAATTTAGGGCCAAATGGCTAAAATCAATAAACTTATAAGGGCTATACTAGCTCCGGATGCAGAGTAGGGCTGGGCCATGGCCCGGGGTGGCCACCCCTTGGATCCGCCACTGCACCTGATTCAGTTGCCTTATCCACGCGGATTGGGTGACCAATAAACTCAGCTATTTTCATCACTGCCTCCTTATTTATGAATTCTGTGAGTAGTTCCGGCAATTGAGCCCAGATCATTGCTGTTTTCACCTCCTATTTCCATGTATTAAAACCTTTATACCAACGTGATACTGTGAGGTACGTGTTTCGCAAAAACCAAGGACCATTATTGACAGCAAAATCATAGTCTTCCTGGTGCCGAAACCTGATCATGAAGCAACCATTCTTCATATTCAATATTTGAAGCTCTCCATGCTTAGCCCATAATCCGTTGAGACGTCTGGCCAAAGGAGCAAACGGAACATTCCTTCTCAGTCTCTTCACCACAAGAGCTTACCGCCACTCTTTTCTCCATTTGATTTTCTCAACTGCAGTGAAAGGGATCGTCGGACATAAAGGGTTTTGTTCCTCCTCTGCAACTTCATCATCCTCTTCTTTCTCCGTTTGCGCCACGTCCTTCAAGTCGTAGTCGAATACGTACCAAATATCATGTTGTACAACCTCACTGAACAACCTTCTACCACCGCCTTGCCATGCCGTCGCTTTTGATTGTGTCTTCGGAATCGCTTCCCCATCCGTTTTGCATCAATGCCACCCGTGACCCCTTCTCTACGTCTTCTCCTTCTTGCTCCAGATTAATAGCTCGAACATGTTTCTTCTAATGTGTTATTTTCTTCGCGTTTTTGCCATTTGGCGAGGCCAATATTTCCGCTGGTCGACGACTACCACTCAAGATGTCCTGTGGTTTGTCAACATTAGCCGACTTCTTAGTCGGGGCCATCGACGCCATTAAAACCTAACTCCCTAGTTCGTATGATCGGGAATCGCCTAAATCGCCGCTCCGAGAAACTCGCTTAGGGTTTTAGCCTTACTTTAACTGTTGCTTTTTCTCCTAGATTGTGATATGTGAAGGAAGAGGGAGCGAGATTTTCAATATTCAAATATAGACTTGGGTGTCATTATAGAGTGGGAAGAGTGATTGAGTGGATTGCTAAATATAATTAGGAAGTGATTTGGGTCCACAGTCTTGTCCAATAAACTAAAATTTGGATCAGATAGACTATGAGATCAAACATCTCATAATACAGACGTGGACCATATCAAATTATTCTTGAAGATCTAGGCACCCAACTATAGAGTACGATTTGATCCACAATTTTACTCATAGTCTCATCTATTTTTCTAGCAATAATATAAGTTATCTGGTAGGTATTTTCTCATATAAAATTTATTAAACTTATCAGAACAGAAAATTCTACTTCCCTTAAGTTGAGTATCAGAACTTTTCACCAATATAAGTGACCCAGCTTTTCTTCTTCTCGTCATAATAGAGAAAATTGACAATGCAAATAATGATTTCGAACGTGTACATAAAATTATATGGTTCATTATTATAAAAAAAAAATTATATGGTTCATTAACAGTGCGTTAGCTATACGTTTTTGGTTAAGAGGTCACTAAGTAAGATAATAAATATAACGGGTTAATTGCAAGGTTCACGTTTTGTCACTAGAAATATTTAATTTCATTCATGGTCACTAGGTTTGGTAAAACATGTCATATTTGGTCACTCTCCATCCAACTCCGTTAATTTTGTCTGATGTGGCAGTCAACTCTCATAGTTGAATTCAACGGGGAAAAAAACTCTCATAGTTGACCGTTAAATATATGACGTGACAAT